GAGCGGACTCGATGCGCTGGGGAGACCCCAGTAGCTCTCGGCTTGCCGTGGAAGGCTTCGGAAACGATTTCATCCAGGCCAAGCGATCTTGGCGCGTTGAGGTTGGGCCCCAACAGAACTTAGGCTTTTACTAGACTTCGGTTCGGATACTTGCTTTCTTTGAGACATGCTCTCAGAAGGCGAGCATGGAACAAGATGATTTCCTATGGAGAGCGATGCCTTTTTATACCCGAGATCGACCTATTTTTTGGTTGGATCGGTCATATTGGTCGATCTCGGGGTTAGCATTCCTCTCCCCAGGAGCGGAGAAAAGGATTCGATATAATTGCTTTTTTAGGATGATAAGGAATCGGAGGAATCGGGGAGGTAAAAGAGTAGGAAAGGAATTCGCTGGTAAGGTAATCCGACGCGGGGTCGGTTACGCGCTTATAGACGCGGTCGTGGCGCGGTGCGGGACGCTCGCTCGCTTGCGTGGCGCGGTGTCGGTGCGGCGCGGGGCGCATCAACGCTCGGTAGTACGGCGCGTGATGCGGCGCGGAGCATGCTAGCGCTTGTTGGCATTCTGCGTGGTGTGACGCAGGGGGAATACCACGAAAATAATCATATTTACGCGGTATTCCCGTGCTCTGCTCCGACGCTTCGGAGTTCGCGAATGTAACAGATTAAAAAAAGGAGGTATAAATGCCTCTTGCGACCACTGCCGCATTCCGCCTGATGTTCGGCGATCCCCGACGGATGGTCGGTCGGGGGAAAGTCGGAGAAGGAACGGAGCGGAGGGATGCGCTTCGTTACAGGGCTAACTCTCAAAAGGAACAAGTTGCCAAGTTTGAAGTGCCAACTCCTGCTCTCGCAGTTGGCTGTGCTGGTCTGTCGGGCTCTGCTCGTGTTCCTGGGTCCAACCGCTCATCTCGGCGCTCTTCTCAAGCTAGCTCGGCGCACTCATCAACGACTCACCCAAGTTGCCGATAGAACTCGCTCTCAAGGTAAAATCTCAACATAGCAGGCTCATTATTCTGAGGGAAACCTTCGATGATTTTAACAGCTTAAATGCTTCGCTCGAGGAGCTAATGGATGGAAGGTTCAGGCTTCTCTGACGAGAAGTTCAAGGCGATTTCCAAGGAGCACTTTTCTTAAATCTCATGGTCAGCAAATCTTCTTAATCATGAATATTTGAACAACCTTTATTTACAAGCTCAGAGGACTTATTTTGCTCTGAAACGAGAGATTGCTAAGGCCAAAAACCAGCTCACTATTTCAGCTCCTCCTAGCTCATCGGCCAGTTCACAAGGGAATTCTAAGCTTCTGGACATATCATTGTCTGAATTTCGAGGCGATTACACGGATTAGTCGACGTTCAGCGACATGTTCAGAAGCCTCATTTTGGACAATCAACACCTCTCGGATATGGAGCGTCTCCACTATTTGCAAGTCTGTCTGAAAGGTCCCCTTGCTCAGCTGATCTCTAATTGGTCGCTCACAGCTACCTCTTTCGAAGACTCATGGAAATTATTCACTGATCGCTTCGAGAATAAACGACTGCTCATTCAGTCTTATTTAGACCAGCTCTTCACCATTTCAATGCTCACCCAGAAGAATGCCATCGCAATCACTCTTAATTGGCTCATCATCACTGTGACAGAGACTTTGACCACATTAGGTGTCACAAATTTGGATGATCATCTCCTGATCATGTTTCTCGCCATCTGAACCGCTCAATTAAAGAAGCATGGGAGGCTTCTCTTGACTCGTCTCAAAAATATCCTTCGTTCTCTCAATTCAAAGGCATTCTTGAATGCTCGAGTCCGAGGTCTCGAGCGAATAGAATCTGCTCATCCACCATCAGTTCAGACACCGAAGAAGACAGCTCTTATGGCTTCTGTTCAATCGGACCAGTCTGCCGCCTCGAAAACAACAGCATTTTCTCAAAGCTCAACAGCTCATCCATGTGACTATTGTAGTGGCCATTACTACATAGTTGCATGTGAACAGTTCAGGGATCTTGCATCCTTGGCTCGAAGATCCTTAGCTGAGCGCAAGCGATTGTGCTTTAATTGCCTTGGACGTATCAGTGTTAAGGCGTGCAAGAATGCAGAGGACTGCAAGACGTGCTTTGGGCACCATACGATGCTGCATGAAACTAATCGTCCACTCAACAAACCCAGCCCAATCCTGGCAGTTTCAACCTCATCCTAAATTGCTCAGCCATCGACTTCAACTCAGCAATCATCGTCGTCAGCTCATTGAAGGGTCGGTGCAATCGTCAGCTCATTGCACCAATTCCAATACTCATATTCAGCTTTTTTAGAAACAGCTTTAGCTCAAGTTAAAACTCCTTTAATTGCTCAATACCTTTGTTCATTGATTCAGGCTCAGAACTCATCTTCATCTCCGAACAGCTCGCACGCCAGCTCAGCATTCCTCGCCAACAATCATTACTTAACATTCATGGAATAGGAGGCTCAAGGTCAATTCAAACTCTTGGCGTCGTACAATTACAAATGGATTCTCAAGACGCAGTCAAGATCAACACTTATATCATAAGGATTGTTTCATTAATTACGCCTTCTAGTGAAATATCAATTCAAGAATGAATATTTGAAAATGGACACTTGAAAAACTATGTCTTGCAAACTCAAGATACTATCATCGTAGCTACTATCAGCGTCCAATTGACATCATCATTGACGTTGACTCTTATAGGTCAATTATCAAACCTAATATTATTAAACATCATCCATCAATGCCAATTGCTCAGCTTTCAATTTTCGGTTGGATAATATTAGGACTCATCAATACATCTCACTTATATACTAGATTTGCTTATCAAGTTTTTGCTTAACAAGAGGATGTCAACAAGGAATTATTCACTAAGTTTTGGATTCAAGAAGAATTACCTATCGACAATCACTCTCAATTATCACTTGAAGAAAAGGAATGCAAGGCTCATTTTCGTACTCATTCAAGAGACTCATCTGGACAATACAGTGCGAATATAGTGCGAATTCCACTCAAAACATCTGCAATAACCTTAAGATCTTCTCATCAAACTGTCTCTAAATTCTACAAAGGATTTTACGTCGATTCAACAAAGATGTAGAATATAGCCAACTCTATAGAAACTTCATGAGGGAGTATGAGGAACTTAATCATATGAGAAGAGTTAATGAAGATGATCATTCTTCCGAGGTGACCTTGGCACATGATGCTTCGGCATCAGGAGGCTTCGGGTTGTATTCAACGGCTTAAATCCTACATCATCAAAGAAATCTCTCAATGACATCATGCACACTGGGGCAAATTTGCTACTTAATATTATGGACAGTCTCATCTGGATTCGCCATCATCGGCACATATTCGCCACAGACATCACTAAGATGTATCGACAGATGAAAGTTCATCCAGAAGATTGGGATCTTTTATTGTTTTGTATGGTCTTTCATATTTCTCATCTTTCGATTTAATATGTCTTCCATATGATCGTCTGTATATCCATGTACTTTTAAAATTTGTGCAATTTGCGATCATAATATTTTCTTTTTATTTTTGGATTGTAAAATTTTTCTCTTCTTTCTAAATATGCTTGAAGAAATAGTTTTGTCGATTTTTTAGTTCGATTTTAATATTATTTCGTTATAAAATGTATTATTATTTAATAGATATATTATATCCATTATATTTAGCAAAATTATAAGTTTTTCTACCATCTTTATTGTTATTATATCATTATACCATCTATCTATATATATTTAATTATATTGTCGCGTTCGCGGCGTTGCTTCTCGCGATCGCGGTACTCGGTGGAGCGCTTCTGGAAAGGAGAACACTATTTTAAGAAAAACACGCTCTTGATTAAGCCAATATACATACACCGGCACAGAAACGCGTCCGACCACCGCGGAATCTGGCCGTGAAAATTACAAAAACAACCGGAGAATGACGCGTTACCAAGGGCTGATCCTCATTTAAAACTCTCATTGATTATATTGATTAATCCCTCGGGGGCAGTGCCGAGCGGAACACCGCACGGCCGCAACACTGCTTCTCCCCCCCTCATAAAATTGTCGTCCCGACAATTCCTCTTTGTTCAAGAACTTCTTCTTGGAGAAGACTTCCGGGCAATTGGCGACTTCCTGCCATATCCTGGGCTGCTGTCTCAGGTTACCGGGCGCCGCTATTTCTAGTCCCAGTCTTATCTACTCTTCAGAAGAATCTTGTTATTGAAATTTTGCGCGTTTCTCTCTTGACTCTTCATTTTGAGCTTTGCGATTCTCTCTTTTATTCTTCGGGCAAAGTGGGGATATTCATCATGGACCCTTCTTTAAGAAAGACCCACTAAGCTCCTGCCTCGGCATTTGCCCTATGTCCCCCAGAAAAACTATGACTCGGAAAACCGGGGGCGAGGCAGACTTCTTTTTTTTTTAAAAAAAGAACTTCTTCAGCTCGATGTTCGGCTCGAAGTTTCTGCCTGTTGAATGGGCTCCGGATCTTCCCTCAACGTCTCTCCAAAAATTGAAAACTTGAAGAAAAAGAAAAGAAAACAGAAAACAGTAACTTCTTAAAAAGGTTACAACTAATATTTTTAATTCCCCTTTATTCCGCAAGAACGGACTTTAATCGCTACTAGGAAGAACAGGACTGAATAATCAAAACTCGACAAAAGAAACTAGATTACCGGGCTCCGAAAACCTTTCTGAAATTCTTCCCTTTCCTTAAAAGAAGCTGACCTATCGGCATGCACAATCTTGCTTGCTCGACGGGAAATACAGAAAACTACGTCACTCAACTTTTTGATAACTTCATAGGACTCTTCCTATCGCACTGCAACTTGGGAGACTTACCCTTCTTACGGTGAGGATTAAATAACCAAACTTTTTCTCCCTCTTCAAAAATGGGATGCTTAGCCTTACGAGCGGCATTTGATCTTCAAAGACCTTGATTCCAATCTCTCTCTTACTCCCTGATGAATTTCATCGAGTTTCTGCCGCAAATCCCGAACGTATTCTTCCGCTGACTCAGAAAAACCATAACTCAGAGGAGTATCTCTTAGCAAATCCATCGGCAAGGTAAGATCTCTTCCGCAAAACAATTCCGAAGGAGTACCGCCTGTAGCCTCATGTTTAGAGGTCCTATAGGCAAGAAGAAACATGGGAATCCAATGATCCCAATCCTTTTGATTCTCTTCAATAAACTTCGACAAATACTGTAAAATTGTCTGATGTTGCCTTTCAACTTAAACATCAGACTAAGGATGAAGAGCGGTCGTCCTCGTTTTCCTGATTCCCAAAATTCTCATTAATTCTTGAAAAAGCGGCGATTCAAAATTTCTCCCCTGATCGGTACGAAGTTCCAACGGAACCCCATATCTAGAAATAACCTGATTAACAAAAATTTCTGCCGTAGTAGCTCTCATATTCTTCAGAGGAAAAGCCTCTACCCATTTAGTAAAACAATCCACAACAACTAGAAGATACTTATTGCCTGAAGAAGAAACAGGTAACGGGCCTAAAATGTCCATTTGAATCCTTTCAAAATGAGCTCTCGAATTAAAGATCTGCAAAGGAGATTTCTCTTTATTCGTAGCACCCTTTTTCGCAACACAAATCCTACAGGTTCTGCACCATTCCTCAACATCCTTCTTACAGATTGCCCAATAAAAACGCTTCCGAATCTTTTCCAGCGTTTTATTGATCCCGAAATACCCTCCAAAAGGAATATCATGTGCTTCTTCTAAAATCTGCTTCACTTTGCCTCACGGGATCACCAACTGAAGAAAACTTTTTCAAATTAGGAGCCTCTCATCTCTTATGCAAAATCCCATTCTGAACTTCCAAGGCATGCCATTGATGTCAATAAATCTTGGCAGACAAACCTCTTGAAGAAATTTCCTCTCAAGTAGGTCGCAAATCACTTTCCTTGGCGAGTAAAAACATTGCCAATTCCTGATCCTCCATTTGGGCCTTACGCCATTCTTCAGAAGAATCCTCACGCAAAACAGTTCGAGCAACTACTTTATCGTCAGAAAGCCTCCTCTGAACTTCCACCTTAGTACATTATCTACATTTTTCAACATGAGCGTCTCGAAAGACCATCGGCGTTACCGTATGTAATCCCCTTACGATGAGCAACATTATGTCAAAATCGTATTGCTGTAATCTTTCCGTACAAATAATGATGAAAGTGTTTCTACCAAAGCTAATAATTCTCTTCTTGTTGTACAATAATTCCGCTCAGGCTTGATCAAAACCCGACTATAATAGGCAATGACCCTCTCACAGCCGTCCTGAACTTGAGAAAGTACCGCCCCTTCCGAAACCTGAAGCATCCGTATCCAGAATCATCTTTCCTTCTCCTTCGGAAAGGAAAGAAGATGCAGACATTAATGCCTGCTTTAACTTCAAAAATGTTTCTTGACATTGCCTGGTCCAATCAAATTTAATCAAATTCTCAGTTAACTTAAACAAAAGCTTTGCAATTGAAGAAAATCCCTTAACAAATTTCCGGTAATATGAGCAAAATCCAAGAAAACTTCGGACCTGTTTCTTATTCTGAGGAACTGGCCACTTCTTATTCTGAAGAACCGGCCAGTGACCGCTTCAGTCTTCTTAGAATCCGTAGCGATCCCGGAAGAAACAACGTGACCCAAATATTGTTACTTTTGAGGAAATGAAAGAGAACTTAAGAAAGGTTCTTCTGATATTGCGTGCTGCAAAACTTAGTGTTAACCCAAAGAAATGTAATTTATTTAGGAGAACCTAAATAAATTATATTTCTTTGGGTTGTAACAAAGCATCTTTCGGATGCTCTGTTACTAGCGCGCGCAAATGCGGCCCGCACCATCCGAGGCCGCCCGAGCACTCCCGACCGCGACCGACCGACACACGCGCGCCGACGAGCTGTCACGTAGCGACAACGTGACAGCTATTGTTATATTAACAAACTAAACGGTGACACGTGGCGCGGATAGGGGTATAAATACCCGACGAATTTTTAGACAAGACACCAGTCCTATCCGCTCCTCCGACCTGACCAACACCGACAACCGTTCCGACCAGAACAGCGAGAGAAGATTCTCTCAGCGAATACCGAGCGTTCTCCGTATTCCTGTTCTATCCTTTCTCGAGAATTCGGAGTGTTCTCAGCTTTCTCGCTCTCGCAACGAATACCGAGCGTTCTCGATATTCTTGCATCTCCCGTCTGAGGAAAATCAGAGTGTTCTCAGATTTTTCCCCTCCCGACAATACCGAGAGTTCTCAGTATTGTCACTCCATCTCATCTCGAAAGTCGGAGCGTTCTCGGACTTTCCCGCGACGTCCGCCCCACGTGTCACGGCGAGCGTCAGCGGTTGCCTAGCAACGCACACGCACGGGCCCGGTTGCCTGGCAACGCGCATACCGATACGAACCCGGCATCCGACGAGCGAAAATCCGAGCGCACGTCCTCGCGTCCGTGCCTAGCGACAAAAATCCGAACGCGCAGGGACGTTCCGTTACAGGGTTAACACTAAGTTTTGCAACACGAAATCTCAGAAGAACTTCTCTTAAGTTCTCTTTCATTTCCTCAAAAGTTTTGCCAAATATTATCACATCATCCAAATAAACCAGGCAAATTTTCGAAAGTAAATCCCGAAGTACCCGTTCCATAAGACGCTCAAAGGTAGCCAGGACATTACACAGACCAAAAGGCATCGCGACAAATTGCCATAGCCCATTATCCACAGAAAAAGCAGTTTTTTCCCTATCTTCGGGACGAATTTTCAAGTGCCAATCACTCTTCAAATCCAGAGTGGAAAACCAGGCATTTCCCGATAACTGATCAAGAAGATCGTCAACCCTTGGTAGCGGATAAGAATCTTTTTTCGTAACCGTATTTTATTTCCGATAATCAACGCAAAATCTAAGAGAATCTTCTTTCTTCTTTACCAAAACTGCTGGAGAAACCCCAAGGGCTTGAAGATTCTTCAATTACCCCTTATTCTTTCATGTCCTCCACAATTCTTTCAACTTCTGAACGCAAATGTATTGGAATTCTCCTAGGAACCTGTTTAATAGGACGAGAATCGCAAAAGTTTAGCAAAAGTCGCTTTCTGATTCTCTTCTAATTCACGAGAATTATCATTGAAGAATTCCTTCAATCCCATAGGAACACCCTCCTCCACACTCGTTATCCGCCGACAGAAATTAACTTCTAATCCTTCTTGAAGAAAAGCCTCCATAGCCGATTGCATTTCTACGCGCGAAAAGAAATCCGCTCCCAGAATACAATCCTCAGCCATTTCAACCGCAAACGCAAAAATCTCCAAAGTAAACCTGCCTATCTCAATCTTAATTAAAACTTTAAATTTTACCGGAACTTTTTCCTCTGTAGGATATCTCAAGTTACTTTCTCCTACAGAAAATCGCTTCCCTTTAATATCTGCAAAACCTCTATTTACGAGTGTAACATCGGAGCCTATATCTAACTTAAATAAACAATTTAAATTTAAATAAACAATTTTTCTCATTTAGCAAACCGCGCAAAACAAAACGTTCATTCTTTTCACAATTTCTTCTAAAACGCCTAATGCTACTTAGGGCATTACCCTTTTTCGTTGAACTCGTCCCCGTAAGCTCAACGAAACCTAATTTCCCTTTTGCGATTCCAAAAGGGTTGGACACTCCGAACGAAAGTGTCCTTGTTTACTACATTGCCAGCACTTTTTTTCTTTGCGAGGAAATTTATTCCTCTACACATAACTTTTTGATCCCTTATTCGCTTCCCGCTTATTTCGTTTTTCGAAAACTTTATTTCTTTCCCCACTAAAGTTTCTCCCGTTAGAAAAAGAAAAATTTTTTATTCCCGCTTGTTCACTATAGACCTTTCTTCCAAAACTATTTTCTCTTATAATTTTAATTGCCATTGCTCTCTCAACGGCAAGCCTCAAGGACGTGAGCCCTTCCAATTGAAGAATTTGTTTAATGTTTCCATCCGATAAAGCTACAATAAATTGGGAACAGGCAATTTTGTCTCGCATAACGGGAGAATTCCGGATAAGCCAGATGAGAAAGTCGTTCTAATTCTGAGCCTAACGCGGCTATTTCCTCTCCTGGTTTCTGTTTTCGATTTGTAAATTGAAGGTAATAATTTTGAAAAATTCTCCCCGGAACGCAACTCTAATCGCGCAACCAAACTATCGAGTTGAGAATTTTCCAGCTCCGTTCCTCTCTTCAAAATTGAACGCGCTTTCCTCCTGAGGCAGAACGCCAACACAACGGCCTTCTCGGAATTACTCCAACCATTAGCCTGCGCAATCAAATCAAATTGTGTAAGAAATTCACGCAACGGAACATTCCCGTCATACGTATCGGGCTTTAATTTTATTCCGCAACCGAAATTAAAATTTGAAAACGACTGGCCTATCGGACGTTGCGGAATCTCTTCTTGCGGACATCGAAGATGTTTCCGTCTCCCGTCGAGCATGCTCCTTCCTCAGAGAGCGAAGATCCTCCAGCGTCAAACGAAGAATCTCCTCCAAGTTCGGAAACGCCTCCGGCCCTTCCGTTCGAGTACAGGCCCTCTTTCTAGCAGAAATTGCTCTCCGTCTTGTCGCTTCTTCTTGTCCGGTCCTTGTCTCTTCCGTCTGTCCCTCCGCCATTATCTCTCTCTCTCACACACACACACACACACACACACACACACACACACACACACACACACACACACACACACACACACGTA